AAGAGACAGGTCATATAGAGTTCAATTCAGTTCAGTTCAGTCGCTCAGTCGTGTCCGACTCTTTGGAACCCCATGAACTGCAGCACGCCAGGCCTCCCTGTCCATCACAAACTCCCGGAGTTTACTCAAACTCATGTCCATCGAGTCAGTGATGCCATCCAGCCATCTCATCCTCTGTCATCCCCTTCTCCTCCTGCCCCCAGTCCCTCCCAGCATCACGGTCTTTTCCAATGAGTCAACTCTTCGCATGAGGTGGCCAAATAATATGGCATAATTCCTAAACCTGGGCTTCCCTGGTAGCTCAGCTGGTAAAGAATTCACCTGCAATGCAGGAAACCTTGGTATGATCCCTGCGTTGGGAAGATCCCCTCGAGGAGAGCATAGCGACCCACTCCAGTATTCTTGCCTGGAGAATCCCATGGACAGAGGAGCCTGGTGAGCTGCAGTCCACGGGGTTGCAAAGAGTCAGACACGACTGACAACTAACCACAGCAGCGTTCCTAAACCTATCTGAAACTCCAGCTGCTAAACAGTGTTGTCACAGAATAGGCTTTTTGAATGTTTCTGCCTCCCTCAGTGGCTGAGGGTTTCATCCCGTGTTGGTTGCTTCATGGTTACAAGATAGCTGCCACAACTCCAGCTTTCGTGTCTACATTCAAGGCTGGGAAAAAGGGGGAGAAGGGGACTAAAGAGGCTTTTCTCATTCTGTTGTCTTCCATCAAGAAACCGAAAGCTTTTCAGTAGTGCCCAGTAGACTTCACCTCACGTCCTATTGGCCGGAATGGCCATGCCTCATTGCAAGGGAGGCCAGATATCAAGTCTGTGATTTGTTTTGGTGTCTTTGAAGTAAATGGCAAGACAGAGGATTGATAATGACCACTGGGTTGGCAACCCAACAATAAGGATGTACCGAACTCTCCAGATGTCAGTGTAGCCCTTTTATCTTTTCTTAAGTGTCCTCTTCCCTTATGGAAGAAAGGGTTTGAGGTATGGTGGGGTTGGTTGCCTGCTTTTAGTAAATTTCCATCCCTGTATCCCTCTTTCAAGACGCAGGGCTTTTTTTTTTTTTTTTTTTGTCCTGTAGACAATGAATTGAGTCCTGGCAGGTTCAAGATTAAGGCAGAGTGCCAAGACTGGGGTTTTGGAAGGTTCCATGCAACTGCTTCTCCTAGCCAGACAGGGGACCCACCCAGAGCTTAAGTTGCCAGATGAAACCACAATCACTGCTGAGAAAGAGGCGTGTGTGTGTGTGTGTGTGTGTGCATGTGTGTTCATGCACAGAAAGTCTCCACCTCATCTCTTGGGCTCAGAGCTTTCCAGGGCTGCTCAAGCAGTGAGTCCTTGTGTTTTTCAGGTTTGGAGTGATCCACTCAGTGTTCACCAACCTGCTTCTGTGGGCTAACAGCATCCTGAATGAGTCAAAGCACCAACTTAACGAACACAAGGAACGACTCATCACCCTGGGCTTTGGGAACATAACTATAGGTGAGTGGTAAGAGTTGCCTGGCTGCTACCTTGGAACAGCTGGGAAATCTCAGAGATGGAGGGATGGGTTTCAAAGACCTGCAGGGTCCACCCAACTGAACATTGGCCAGACAATCCCCTGTTGTTGAAAATCTTTCAAAACCTCCTAAGTCTTTCATCCTGCCTCCATAAGTAGGGTGTGCTGAGCATAATTAAAGGGTTCTTCAGTGACTCGTCAGACGCAAGGGTCATCATTTTGATCACCGTTTCTCATGGTTCAGTTTGGTATGGAGGTGAATGTCTTTGTTTACAACTGCAGAAGGTTGGTGGTTGTTACCGTTTGTGTTTTTAATTAAACTTCGATGAGCAGTTCTTTCTACTGCAAGTATAGCTTTGAAAGATCCATAGACATCTAATGGTATGTTGTGGTTAATTGGTTTTTGCTCATTTGAAGTTTTTATTTAACTCTATTTGGTTTATAATTTTGGCCCATCTTTATTCCCCCTTGTACCTATTTGAGCACCTGTCGTGTGAAGCTTTTCATTTTCTTCCAGAATTCTCTTTTGGAATCTATCTGTTGATTTGATCTTAGAGCACTGAGTTGAGAAGAATGTGGGGTAGAGGAATGTACGGGAGACTGAGGTCTCAGGTTTGGGTCCTATGCCCATCATGTTTTGGCTCTGTGACCTTTGGATGCCATTCAGCCACTCTGAGCCTCTCTTTTCTCATTCATAAAGTGAGGGGGCTTGAACCACATACTTTCCATGAGTCCTTCCAGTGTTAATGTACTGCACATATATCCTTTCTGTACAAACCCAGATCAGTCACAAAGAGAACTTTAAACCTGTTTCCTCACCAGTGGGGTGAGGATGACAAAATCAGGGGACACGCTATATTTCTTCACCACCCCCAACCAGCAGCCTACGCTTGGGAAGGTCATGCTCCTTGGGCCTCATTTCCTCACTGGAATCAGTAACAGTAACAGCAATGACAGCAATAACAACATGTTTTGGTAAGCATTCTCTGAGTGGCTGGCACATTAAACTCTTGTCCCCACACTTGGAGGTAGGCAACACTAACCTTGTTATATGGATGAAACGACTGGGCCACAGAGACGTTAAGTGACTAACCCAAGATCACACAGTGAGTAGATGATTGAGCCAGGATTTGAATCATAGCAATGTGGCTCCAGAGACCTTGGTGAAGATGGGATTAGATTAATTTATAAAAAAGGAAACATTGTCAACTCTAACATTCTATTAATCTGAACCTTTTTCTTCTGAGTTCTTCCTTGTCTTTTGCATCATACAGTCTTAGGTTACAAGTGGTAGGGAAACTCCTTGTGTATTGAAGATCGTAGTGCTCTGCAAAAGTAAGGCAGATTACTCCTGGGTATGTATGTGTCTGTACACACACACACACACACACACACACACATACACACTCAGACATAGCTATAATTAAAAAAGATACATGCAGCCCTATGTTCATGGCAGCACTATTTACAATAGCCAAGACATAGAAGCAACCTAAATGTCCATTGACAGATGAATGGATAAAGAAGATGTGGTACATATATATAATGGAATATTACTCAGCCATAAAAGAATGAAATAATGCCATTTATAGCAACATGGATGGACCTAGGGATTATCATACTAAGTGAAGTAAGTCAGCCAGAGAAAGATGAATATATATAACTTGCATGTGGAATCTAAAATATGACACAAATGAACTTATCAACTAAACAGGAACAGGTTCACAGACATAGAGAACAGGCTTCTTGTTGCCAATGGGGAGGGGAATAGGGGAGGGAAGGACTGTGAGTTTGGGATTAGTAGATAAAAAAACAAGTGAGGGTAATTAATGCTACCATAAAGGCTTTTTTGCCTGATTTTATATGTAGTATATGCATACCATAAATTAAAGCAATGGCAAAATGTAAAGAAAAAATCCACAATAACACCTACAGCTAATGTAGCAGCTAAATGCTACAGCTAAATGCTGTTAACATCTGGTTAGTTTTTGGTAGTGTGCTGTGTATTTGTTTGTAGTTGAGATCATACGGTATATATTCAATCATTTTTTCTACCACCTACAGTAAGAAATAGATTTTACACTGCAACTGAAATGCCCTTATGTCTACATGTGTGTTCCCATGAAATAATAATCATACTATATCAAAGATGCCCAAATTTCTATTGTATTTGATTCCATTCAGTTAATCCTATTTTATTCCATTGCAATGCATTAAAAAATATTGGCTGCTATCCTTTAAACTGAGCTCACAACTGAATTCTGGGTTGTGGTATGCATTTTGAAATACTAGATATACAATTTGTTCTTACTTTTCCCCTCATTGTTATTGTAGCGTAATTATTTTCTTATATCATTAAAACACACAATTGTTATTTTTTTAATCTTTAACAATTTTTAAATTTATTTTTAATTGAAGGACAATTGCTTTACAGTTTTGCATTGGTTTCTGCAGCACATCAGCATGAATCAGCCACAGGTGTACATGTGTCCCCCCTCTTGAACCCCTCTCACCTTCCACCCCATCCCACTCCTCTAGGTTGTCACGGACACAATTATAATTTTTAATGGCTGCCTACTATTCCATTTCCTTCTCCAGGTGATCTTCCCAACCCAGGAATCGAACCCTGGTCTCCTGCATTGCAGGTTTGATTCCTGGGTTGGGAAGATCTCCTGAAGAAGGAAATGGCAACCCACTCCAGTATTCTTGCCTGGAGAATCCTCTGGGCAGAGGAGCCTGGCTGGCTACAGTCCATGGGGTCGCAAGAGTCAGACACGACTTGGCTACTAAACCGCCACCACTATTCCATTATAAAGATGTATTATAGCATTCATCTAATTTTATAAATTCATCTAATTAATCCATTATGAAATCCATCTAATGCTTTCTAATTGTGCCACATTGAGTGTTTCTGTTTCTTTCTCAGAAACACACAACAAAATTTTACCTAATGCTTTGATTATATTTTTGACTTGTTCCCTAGAATAGATTGGAATTATAGGCCAAAGACTTTATACCATCTTTAAGGCTTTTTGTTGCATATTTCATTATTTACTTACAGCATTTCCCCTCCTTGTTATGAAATGGTCCTTTATACAATCAACAAGTTTCTTCCAGAATATGGGACTTGTCTCTTGCCACACTTGCTGGCTTCAGATATTCCCAAGAGGAAAATCTTTACTCATAAGAGGCATTTTCCCTCACAAGGTTGTTTATAAAAAAGTAATTTTGAAATAATACATGTCAATCATATTCATATAGAAAGTTTAGAAAATACAGTGAAGCAAAATCTAAAGGAAAACTTACACAATAGGTCAATTATATCTCAATAAAACTGCAAGAAAGATACTTTGAGATGTTTCTTTTACTGAAAGAAAGAAAAGAGAAAAGTAAACCAAAGAAAAATCACCTGCTGTTTTTCCACCCAAGGATAACCATTGTTAACATTTTAGTTTATGGCCTTCCAGACTTCTTCTATATCTGTCTATCTCCCTGTCTCTCTCTGTCACCTTTATATCTATAATTTATAAAAACAGAGTTATGCTCTAGCCTCTTTGGCAAGCTGCTTTTATTCAACAGTATCTTCTGAACATCTTTGTATGTTGGTAAGTAGGTTTCTATAATACTATTTCCAATGGTTGGACAACATTCTGATGTCTGGAGAAGATCTAATTCATGTAATTAGTACTCTCTCGGGGACATTCACGGCTGTCAAGTTAGACAGGATATTCAACATGACAATAAGCCATGACATAAAGCTTTTCATTCAATGGGCAAACCCAAGCACACATCCAGAGTGACAATATTTCTTTGTGGTTTTCCATGTCATCACATGAATGTGCTAATCGCCCTCCCCTGTGATCTGCCTCCCCTAGTTTTAGATGACCACACGCCTCCGTGTAACTGCACGCCCCTGACCCTCTGCCCGGCCATCTCCCACGGGATGTACTACCTCTATCCTTTCAACATAGAGTATCAGATCCTGGCCTCCACGATGCTCTATGTCCTGTGGAAAAACATCGGGCGCAAAATCGACAGTCACCAGCATCGGAAGATGCAGTTCAGGTTGCACGGGGTCCTGCTGGGCTCGGCCCTGGGCCTGACCGCACTGGCCGCGACCATCGGGGTTGTGGTGGTGTATCTGATCCAGATCGGTCGTTCCAAAACCAAAAGTGAGGCGGCGCTCATCATGTTCTACCTGTATGCCATCATCTTGCTGATGCTTATGGGGGCGGCAGGGCTGGCTGGGATCCGGATTTATAGGCTAGATGAGCAGTCACTAGACGAGTCCAAAAACCCAGCCCGCAAACTGGACGCGGACCTGCTGGTGGGTACCGCCTCTGGCTCCTGGTTCATCTCCTGGGGTTCCATCCTGGCCATCCTTTGCTCTGAGTCCCGGCCGCCATACACCTGGTACAACCTGCCCTACTCCATCCTGGTGGTTGTCGAGAAATACATCCAGAACCTCTTCATCATTGAGTCCATTCACCGAGAGCCAGGGAAGCTCTCTGAAGACATCAGAACCCTGCGGGTGGTCACAGTCTACAGTGGCAATGCCACGCGTCTCCCTTCTTCCTGCCTCAAGAACGGACCTACGGCCGCGGACGTAGCTCCCCAGGCCAGTGAGATGCCGCCTGTGGCCAATGGAAATACACATCTGAGAGAAGTCGGTGGTGGCAAAGAGAAAGAGGATAAGAGCTGGGAAGGGGCCCCAGGCCCAGCCTGCCACCCCTGTTTCCTGCAGGGCAATGCCCAGAGAAGAGTCTTGAGGAATATTGCAGCTTTTTTGTTCCTCTGCAATATTTCGGTAATTTGTATCATTGTTTCTTTATTTTTTAAAAAATCGATCAATCTATTTTCCCTGCTGTTTTTGAATGAGGAGTGAAGGCAGCTTATAATCGAAATAATTTAAGTGTAAGGTTAAAATATTAGGCTGGAACATAGGCTTACATTCTGTCTATATAACTCCATGTACTGAGGGTCTCTGTGCCAGGGGATGGGGTGGGAACTAAGAATTAAAGGTGAGAAAACTCAATCTCTTTCCTCAAAAAGGTCATAGTGTTTGTGGGAGAAGGAGACAAGGGAAAAATATAATGTAGTGAAGATGGCAAATGCTGGGACAGGTCTATGTGCATGGTGGAATGGGAGTGTGGATTCAGGCAGGGACTTGAATGAGCAACGGACGCTTAAGGTCAGACACAGTCTCAACTAAGAGTGCTTTTGGCTGTAAGTAGTAGAAAGCTTGATAAGCAGTATTTTCTGTCTTAAAGACAATAATTCTGGAAGTTGGCTGCTCGGGGTTGGCCTGGCAGCTGAACCCTATCATCAAGGGTCCAGGCACTGTTCACCTTTCTGCTTGACCGTGGCTGGTGTGGTGCTTGTTGCCACATGGTCATAGGATGGCTGCAGCAGCACCAGGCATTGTGCCTGCATTCAAGACAGGAAGACAGAGGGAGGACTGGTGCCAGGCAATGTCTGTGATTGATGAGAGCACCCCTAACTGCCAGGGAGGAAGGAGAAGTGGATGCTTTGCTTTCTAGCCCCTGTGATGGAAGGTGAAAAGGTAGATGAAGATGTACAGACAGCCACTCAGTACTGCCTGTCTCAGCCTCTATGAATGGTTGGAAGTCTGCCAACTGTGGTCAAGGCAAGGAAAAGCCTTGGGGGCAGATGGCACATGATGTGCAAGGCACAGAGGCGTAGGACACCATGGCCTATTTGGGGAGCACTAGCTGATTAGCATGAATTCCATCCATGTGAAGCAGAGCAGGAAACAGGATGGAGTGTGTGGTTAGATGGATCTGGCTTAAGCAGAGCTTCATAAGCCTGCCTGAGTTCGGTCTTCATGCTGAGGGTGGTAGAGGACCTTCTCAGACCTTTATGTTTTGGAATGATGTCCTTGTACCAGTGTGCAGGAAGGATGGAGAGAGATAAGATCAAAGATCAGGGAAGCTGGAACAGAAGCCCCCACAGCTACCCAGAGAGAAAATGATGGGAACTTGAACCAGGGCAGTGCCAGTGGGGATGGGGAGAATTGTATAGGATTTATCTCACTTGGTGTGAGGTGAACCATGTCCAGGTTCATCTGACTTGAGTTCCTGGGTAGACGGTGATGCTATTTATGGAAGTTGAGGGTCTCTGGTCAGGGAGGAGGCTAGGGAGGGGGCTTAAGGGGAGAGTGAGCTTAGTACTGAACAAATTCAATGGTAAAATCTCTCTAGATATTACCAACAGGCAGATTTTTTTTTGTTTGTTTTTCTATTGCTGTGTAATTAGTGACCCCAGATGCATGACAAAAGCAACAACCATTTTATTATATCTGATGACTCTGTGGGTTAGGAATGCTGGCAGGGTTTGGCGGGACATTTCTGTTCCTCACTGTGTCAACTGAAGCTGGTGGTAGGGTTGGGAAATCCACGATCTGGTGCCTTGGGTGGGGGAGGCCGAAAGGCTAGATTCATCTGGGACTCTGGTTGCAGCGCCTACGTGGGGGTTCTCCAGCACGGTGGTCTTGGGGGAGGTGAACTTCTTAGCCCCAGAGACAAGCTTCCAGGGGACTGGAAGTGCCAGTCTTTTTTTTTTTTTTTTGTAAATTAATTAATTTATTTTAATTCGAGGCTAATTACTTTACAATATTGTAGTGGTTTTGCCATACATTGACATGAATCAGCCATGGGTATACACGTGTCCCCCGTCCTGAACCCCCTCTCACCTCCCTCCCCATCCCATCCCTCAGGGTCATCCCAGTGCACCAGCCCCGAGCACCCTGTCTAATGCATGGAACCTGGACTGGCGATCAGTCTTTTAAGGCCTGGTGTGGACACTGAACAGCACCATTTCTACCGGATTTTATGAGTCCAGCAGTGACAGCATCCATCCAGACTCAAGGGAAGGGGGCAGAGGTCTGCCTCCCAAGGGGATGAGTAGCAAGATTTGCAGCCAACTTCACAGCAGATGGAAAGGTCTGGATTTCAGGAAAGAGGCTTATAATCTCTTCTTCTTATTTTCCCTCCTACCCTCCTTCCCTTTCTTCCCTTCCTGAAAATAGAGCTGTGGTTGCCTACTGAGGGCCAACACTACTGTGAGTCACAAGGGTACCATGTGCCCCAGAGTGTTGGTCTTTCTCCTATGGGGCTTACAAACCAGATGGCAGGACTAGCAACAACAGTCAAGTAGGAAAAACACCCATAGTGACGCGTACCCTGCAGAGAACTACGAAGGGAGGGTGTGTGCGGTGGTGCTTGGATGCCCGAGGTTGATCAGAAGGCCAGGCTGGTGGGAAAGGCTCTCTCAGGCTGTGGGATTAGGGCCCCGGGCTGAACAGCAGAAGGACCCATGGGTGCTCCAGGTAGAGAAGGCAGCCAGGCAAAATCCTGAGTGGGAGGAGCTTGCCTCCTTCCAGAAGAGGAGGAAGTGCATATGATCACGTGGGTGGGTGGGGGGGCAATCTGGGCAGCAGAATTGGGGGCTGGTAAGGAATCATCTAACAGAGGGCTCTGCCATTCTGTGTAGGGGTGGATTATTATTATTTTTTTTTTTTTGGGGTGGATTATTTTTTAAAAATATGCTGTGAAGCCTTTGGGAGTTTAACCAGGAAAGGGACACCATCTCACATAAATAATTAATCTGGTGCTGAGTGGTGAATAGACTGTGGGCTGACAGCATAAATGGGGCGGGGGGTCCACTGACGGTCCAGCTGAGAGATGGGGGTGGTGGCCTGGTGGGTGGAGTCGGGAGAGATGGGTGGATTGAGGATGCTGTTTTGGAGGCAGAGTCGTCAAGACTGACTGATGGATCAGATGGTAGGTGGGTGTTTTTGAGAGCAAGTCAGAAGGCCAGGATGATATTGGAGTTTTGTTGAGCTCCTGGGAAGAAGGTGTTGCCAAGGAGATGGGGAAAAATGGGAATGTAATGTCGAGTTCGAGGTATGTTGTAGACAGCTGAGTAGCCTGTGAGATATATGAGCCTGGACTTCTGAGGGTGGACCAGGCTGGTGATTTGGATTGCGAAGTTGTGGGCCCACAGCTGGTGTTTACAACCCGGGCTGGGTGAGATCACTGGGGTCACGGGGGTAGGGAAGAGAGGACCCCAGAATGAATGAGCCCTGGGACCAGCCAACATTGAGAGACAGCAGAGGAGGAGGGGCCAGCCAAGGAGGCGAGAAGAGTCAGCTGGCAGGGGATGAATACCTCTAAGGACCCAGAACCCAGAACCCAGGGCTAGAGTTATAAGCCTGAGAGGTTTCTTTGTGGAGCTGTGAACGAAAGCCACTTGTATCAGTTACCCACTGCTGTGTAAGAAATGACCCCCAACTCAGCAGCCTAACACAGCAGACATTTATCATTGCACAGCTCTTCTGGGTCAGGAAGCTGAGTGTGGCTTAGCTGGGTGACTGCTCAGGGTCCCTCGCAGGCGGTAGTCAAACTGTCCACTGGGGCTACAGTCATTTCCTGGCTTGGTTTTTTTGGGGAAAGGGGTCTGTTTCTAAACTCATGTATGCGACTTTGAGTTTATGTGACGCATGTATGTGGTTCGCATCAGTTCCTGGTGAGTTGTTGGGCTGAGGGTTTGAATTCCTTGCTGGCTGCGAGCCTGAGACTCACCTGCCCACAGTTCCTGGCTATGTGGCCTCTCCATAGGGTGGCTCACATGGGATCTGGCTTTTTCTTGTGGCTCACACGGCAGCTGGTTTCTTCTTGTGGTTTGAGTGGCAGCTGGCTTCCATTCTTGTGGGAGGGGGTGAGCAAGATGGACTCCAGAGTCCTTTTGTAATCTAACCTCAGAAGTGACATCCCATGACTTGTGTCATATTCTTTTGGATCAGTGCAACCTAAAGCTTTGGAGGGGGCTCCACGGAACGTGAATCCCAGGAGGTGGGACCCTTGGGGGGGTCACCTGAGAGGTTGCCTGCCCCAGTGTGGGGATGGAGGAAGTTGCAGAAATGTTAGTGTGAGAGAGAGAAGCAGGTCTAGGAGCCTGAGAATTTAAGCAGAGAAGCTGGAACAGGAAGGCTGAGAAGGGGAACCAAGGTATAGGTTCCATAAGCAACAAATACGATAGGTAATTGCTTCATGTTTTGCAGATTTAGGTGACATCTTATTCTCATCTGAGCCCCCTGAGACAGATGTTAGTATTCCCATCTTACAGACGAGGAAACTAAGGCTTGGAGAGGTTAAATCATAGCCTGTAAGTGGCAGGAACCCACGGCTGGCTCCAAGGCAGTGCTTCTGCCCCTAGTCAGGGGGATGTGGGCAGAGCCTGGGCTGTCTTTCTAGGCCAAGGACAAGCCGGAAAAAAAGACCATCAGCCCAGACACACGGGCCCAGGATCTGCAAGCACCAATGGTGATATGTACAGAAAATGGGTGTGGGAAACAGCAAGCACCACTGTAGGAAAACACAGTGGGGCTGTGGGAAGACAGAGGATGTTCCTGCCTGACCGGTTAGATCAAGGAGGGCTTCCTGCAAGGGGAGGTGTCTCCAGACTTGGAAGAAGGTAGGACTTAGCAGAAGAAGGAAGACAGGGAGTCCCTGACAGAGGAAGAGGCGGGAGCAAAGCCCTGAAGACTGGGGAAAGAAAGGCATTTGGAGACTGCACAGTCCGGTGGGGCAGAGTGAAATGGGTGATAAGGGATGTGAAGACGTGGACAGGTGTCTAATTATTGAGATTTAGACTTTCTCCTGAAGGCATATGGAGCCCTGGTGAGTGACCCGCAGAGGAGTGACGAGGTCAGATGTGTGCTTTATAAAGATCATTCCTGCAGCCACATTGCAGGGGTTGGGGAGATGGATGGAAGGTGTCCCCTGGAGTGGGGGGTCTTGGGAGGCTTTGCAGCAGTCCAGGTGGGGAGACCAAGGACCAGGGACTAGACCAAGGTGAAGGCTGAGGATGGAGGGAAGCAGGTGAGTTTGAAGAGCATTCATGCCGGACTGGGGCTCAGTGCTCTGGCCGGCTGCATGGAGTTGGGAGACAACGGGTGGGGGCTGCTTGGCCCTGGGTCGGGTGTGACTCAGTTTCCCTGGGTCCAGGTCAGCACCAGGGTTTGTGTGGGACCCCCGGCAGCCGCTGGGACCGTCTCCTCCTCTCTTGCAGCTCTGGATCCCGCCTGCCTTCGGCTGCCGCCCTGAGTACGACAACGGATTAGAGGAAATTGTCTTTGGCTTTGAACCCTGGATCATTGTGGTCAACCTGGCCATGCCCTTTTCTATTTTCTACCGAATGCACGCAGCTGCCTCCCTCTTCGAGGTCTATTGTAAGATATAATCTGTGTCCACATCAGAGATGGAGGGGAGCGCTAACAAGAGAGTTCAGCGGAGCCACCTGGGAATGGCGAGGCTGGGCAAATATTGCCTTAAAGATGCGAGAAGGGCCCCCCTTTGTCTGTGATAATTGCTTTTCCCATGAGCTGGAATTGCCCGTCACCCTGGATGAGTGTAAACAAGTTAGATCAAAATCGATGAGGTGGCTGAAATCTGCCCTTGGGTAGTTAGTTCTAATCAAACCCAAATTTGATCTTCAAAATGACATCCTTTGTTTCCAAAGAATGTGATTGCAGGTTGAAAAAGAAATATCCAGTTTGTTTGTCATTAAAATCATTTTCTGTTATTATGTTACAATATACAATCTTTTTCTGACCATCTGCATGGTCTAATCACCCTTAAATTTTACCCTTCTCAGAACTGTGAATGTAGCTACAAATACATTTATTTTATATTGTACTTTTGAAGATGTTTAAATTTAAAATATTTTATGTTTAATTTTTTGAACAAAGTTATTTTATCATCTGGATGGAAAACTGTGTATAGATCAATATAAAGACATTTCTCACCTGAAGTTTTGGCACATTTTCATTTGTAATCATTCTGAAGTTGTTTAAAAAATATATCTTTACATTTCTCACCTGAAGTTTTGGCACATTTTCATTTGTAATCATTCTGAAGTTGTTTAAAAAATACATCTTTACTGTCTTCCTCTCACCATAAAGATATATATGCCTATTTTAGAAAATTTGGATATTTCAGAAGAATAGAGAGAGAAAAATCACCTAGGATGTTTAATTAATAATAATTTTTTAAATTGCCAATCATTTTTAATGTTTAATAGACATTTTCCCCAGTTTTATTGAGAGGTAATTGACATACACTACTGTATTAAGGTATACAGTAATGATTTGACTTACATACATTATAAAATGACTATCACAATAAGTTTAGTGAACACCTGCCATTTCGTATAGATAAAAGTTAAAGATAAGGATCTTGACATTTTTCTAACAACTTGATTGATATATTTCTTTTAGTTGTTTGAAAGCAGAGGATTCTTTTTACTGCTGTTTTGTTATACTTGCTAGTGATGATGCAACATATTCAATTTTGTATGCGTTTCCCCTCACTTAACAATATAGCATTAACCTTCTCCCAGGACTGTTATATCTCTTTGTAGATAATCATTTTCCTGCTGTTGTAGTCTATCAAGCACTGTAATTAACTTCATTTTTATTGTTGTTGGTTTTAGAGTGTTTATAACTTTTTGTTTTTATAAGTGACTGTGCAAAAATCAACCATATATGTAAAACAGTTTTTATATTTAGGATTGCTTCTTTAAGATATATCCTTGAAATTGAGAAGCTTATCCAAAGTTTATAATTAGTTTAAAGCCTCTGAAGGAAATAGTGACATTTGGGATGGCTTTGAATATGCTTTTTCTTAAGTCTTTTAAAGTCATAATAAAATCAGTTTACTTCCTGTAAATACTAATGTGAACATCTTTTCATCTGAGTGTTTTTTTTTCTCTTTTTGGACAGCACAGACAGTGGGACATTAAGAAACACTCAAAATTTTACATGACCGAAATACTTTATACTAATTTTAGAAAAAACTAAGTAATAGAGATACTAAAAAACAAAGTAAAACATTATCTATTATACCTTCCATCTATAGCGGTGATTCTCAACTGTGGCTGATCTTGCCTTCCGGGGCAATTTGGGCGATGTCTGGAGGCATTTTTGTTCACCACTAGGGGCGATATGTCTCCCTCGTTCGCATGCTGGTGAGTACCCGGGCATGTCCCAAGCGGCTCAGGGGTAAAAAACCCAGCTGCCAATGCAGGAGACATGAGAAACTTGGGTTCAGTCCCTGGGTTGGGAAGATCCGCTGGAGGAGGGTTCCAGTATTCTTCAACTCACTCCAGTATTCTTGTCTAGAAAATTCCATGGACAGAGGAGCCTGGTGGGCTACAGTCTATGGGGTCACAAAGGAGTCAGATCCGATTTAGCAACTGGATAATAACAACAATAGCAACAAAGTCAGATAAATAGCACAAGTGACTAGCGGATGTTTTGAGTGGTAAATTTCTAGTGCTACAGAAATTATAAGACTGATTCAAGCAGAGAAATGTCTAGATAGTCTACTTCATTCTCAAGAGTCTGCTGCAGGAGACAAACTTGCAAACAAACAGCCCTGCGTAAATGGTACTTCTCATCCTACGGTTGCTTTTGCATTCAGCGACAGGGGGCATTACTGCTGACTAATGGGTAGAGGCCAGGAAGGAGCTAAACATCTTCCAATGCATCAGACTGCCTCCATCACAAAGCATTACGCGGCTCCAATTGTTAATAGTACCTGGGCTGAGAATTTGCAATCTAGAGGTAGTTGCTGTTAATTTTTGGTACCTGGGTACCCATTGTTGCACACAGACTCACACATGCAGTCACACAAGCACAAAGAGTACTGTTTTTATACGTGTTGTATTTGCATGTGACTTTCTTTTTAAATCTTAAGACACCAGGATGTTCCAGCAATCCCATGGCACTTATTCTCACACTATTGAGTGCATTAGAATCATTTAAGCAGTCTGTTAGGATTCCTGCCTCCTCAATGGAAGGTCAGCTTTCACTGGGCTGGAGTTCGATCCTGGATGCATAAATAAGCATCTCAGGTGATGCCGACCCTTTTCCAGAAGCATCTTAGGAGCCCAGGAGCCTCAAGTTAAGACTCCTGAAGGGCATTCCTAGACACTATGTTCTCTTCTGTAACGTGACGTTAGACAGCTTCAAGGTACATTCCTTGGAGGGCTGTGCCATTGCTGATTTAGTCAAATGCTTGTGTTGGACTTTTAGAGACATTTATGTGGTTTGCTTGCTTGTTCGTTGACTTTTATACATGACACCCAGGCGAGCGTCTTCTCCTGAGTCATTGGGCGTATTGGTAAATGATCCTGTGTGAGACGACTCTATATGAATGCTGGTTTCTCCAAGGGATCCCATTTTGGTTGACATTCATTTCTCTCTGTTCTATCAGTATCCATTAGTACAGCCCTAGGGCCTCAGCCTGTGAATTGTAAGCCCTGCCAAAGAGATACAGGGAATCACAGTAGTGCCGGAAACAACCAGTCCAGGCTTGGCAGTTTTGAAGTAGACACAGGGCACCATTAGTTCAGCTCAGTTCAGTTCCATCGCTCAGTCGTGCCTGACTCTCTGTGACCCCATGGACTGTAGGACGCAAGGCCTCCCTGTCCATCACCAACTCCTGGAGTTTACTCAACTCATGTCCATTGAGTCGGTGACTGACTCATCCTCTCATCGCATCCTCTATCATCCCCTTCTCTTCCTGCTTTCAGTCCTCGAGGTGATCCATCTCAGACCTTGAGATGATCAACCATCTCATCCTCTGTCACCCTCTCCTCCTTCAGCCTTCAATCTTTCCCAGCTTCAGGGTTTTTTCCAATGAGTCAGTTCTTCACATCAGGTAGCCAAAGTATTGGAGTTTCTGCTTCAGCATCAGTCCTTCCAATGAATATTCAGGGTTGATTTCCTTTAGGATGGACTGGTTGGATCTCCTTGCAGTCCAAGCGACTCTCAAGAGTCTTCTCCAACACCACAGTTCAAAAGCATTAATTTTTTGGTGCTCAGCTTTCTTTATAGTCCAACTCTCACATCCATACATGACCACTGGAAAAACCATAGCCTTGACTAGACGGACCTTTGTTGGCAAAGTAATGTCTCTGCTTTTTAATATGCTGTCTAGGTTGGTCATAACTTTCTTTCCAAGGAGTAAGCGTCTTTTAATTTCATGGCTGCAATCACCCTCTGCAGTGATTTTGGAGCCAAAAAAAATAAAGTCTGACACTGTTTCCACTGTCTCCCCATCTATTTGCCATGAAGTGATAGAACCAGATCCCATGATCTTAGTTTTCTGAATGTTGAGCTTTAAGCCAACTTTTTCACTCTCCTCTTTCACTTTCATCAA